GCACCCCAGACCATTGCTTTCTTGTTGACCTACAAGTTAAGGCGCCCAATGAATGTCTGTAGCTTCCCAATTAGTTCATCCTCAGGAAGATATCTACCTCTAGCCTTATTTCCAAGAGTTATCAATCTAGCGTCAGAGAGCTCGTTACAATCAAAGAGTAAGTGATCAGCTGTCTCTTCTGACCTATCACAGTACCTACAGATCGGTTCACCATCATCAAATAAGCCCATCCGTTGTAGATGTTTCCTGAATCTCCGATGACCAGTTATCAATTCAACAGTTAATTTAATTCTTCGTCTGTCTAGTCTCAAGAGGTCAGAGGCGACCTTTTTAGAAGGCCTAAACAGAGTAAGCTTGCTGACCCTAAGAAGAGGAACATCGACCCAGCGTTTGCGATGCTTTTCCTTGGCCCATGACGCAATCGCAAAACATGCACTGTTTCGTGAGATGCCACAGAAGGGTTTTGGGCCTATCATTGTTGTCGCAGAGGCAGTATTTGCCAATCTATCTGCAGCTTCATTACCTTTAATGCCTGAGTGTCCTGGCACCCAGCAAAGCGTAAGGTCATTTCTCCTACCCAACTCAGACACAGAAGCAAGACAGTCCCACACGAGCCTGGAGTTGAATTCGTAAGAGTTTAATGCTTTTAAGGTCGCTTGACTATCATTATAGATATTGATTGTTTTGCCTCTGATATCTTTTAAGATGTTCTCGAGCACAAACCAGAATGGCAGTGGCCTCCGCTTGAAAAACAGTTGGGGTTTTCCCCATGGGAAGACAAATGCCAGTGCCTCCATTTGTCCAATGCGCACCTGCTCCAGTGCCCCAATTTTTGATCTTAGAACCATCAGTATAGCATTCTAAATCACCTGAGGGTATGGGTCCTTTTTACGCCAGACCAATCCTTCCTATCTGGTATTTGTACTTTGAAAGGCTTTCCAAATGAGTATTTTTTGGACATGTGATCTGAAGGCAAGTCCAATTCATCACTATGTACCACCTGAACAATTTTGGAGTGCCCTTTATTGTTTCCTGAGGTTATCCATAAGTTTTCGCATCTAAGGCGTTGGGCTGTTTTACTTGCTACCACCTCGACGTAAATGTCGATAGTAGTATATCAAGCAGACAGTCTAGAGCCGCCCCAGGACAGCTGAATCCAAGTCTTGTGGTGAGCTCCACACACCACTTTTTTTCTTGTCCCACTTTACCATCCTAGGACGTTAGTCTTAACCCGGAACTGTTTTGTACGTTACCTCAGGCTAGTCCTAGAAGGTTGCGGCATTATCACATAGATAAAATCCATTGGTGGTTGGTGGGATTTGAACCCGCGACCTCGGACACCGAAACCGCTCTCTACGACTACACCAGCTCGCTTCCCGGGCTCCGCACCACTTAAAAGAGTTACGGTGTTTTAATTGTTCTAAAAGCCATCGGTGTTTGGCTGGATTTGAACCATGGACCATTACTCTAACTACACTAGAGCTACAGCGCGGGCTTTCTAAACATAGAAACTCATTCAAATATTTTTACCAATGAGTGTACAAGTTTCCAAGTATATTTACTTTGAACAAAATCAATTTCTGCCAATGTAGCAGGGTAGGATTCTAAAATGTAATTTTGTAGGGGAGCAGTCTCCCCTTTCTGATTAAATATTGTCGGGACCCTTCGTTTATGACGCTAATATTTGTCCGACAACATCCTGGCCGGTGATTTTGATACTATGAGTAGCTAAAACCGTACCAAAATATTTTATTTTTATGTTCATAAAATTACCCATCAATATTTCACATGTTGCCACTTTTGCAATTAATTGTTTGGTAAATGAATTTTGGATACTGAGGTATGTCTCATTTCATCTATGAACCAGTTGTAACTATTACAAAATATAAAACACATAAATTGTCCCACTTACGATTTTGAATGTTTTCATATCCTTAATTGTGTTGTCAATGTGTTAGTTGAAACGATGTAACAACATGAGCTATAGTTTACAATGAGTTCTTTCACTTTGGCTTGGGTTAAACGTTAATTTACATCAGTGAACTCTGACGGTGGCTCAGCTCAACTATTTATTTTAATTATAAAACTTTTGGCTACAGCTTTAACTTAAGTATTAGGTCTTTAGTTTTATCTTTAATCGGTAGTTTAAGATTTAAGGGAATATCAACTACTGTATTTCCCAACGAACTATATCCGGATAAGATTTTTTCAATACAAAATATGTGTACACAAAGTAGTTAAGGTATTTTTTCCTTGCTTTCCAATCGATTACAGCTACATTTAAATTACTAAATTGTCTAAAGTAGGGTACATTACTTTTATATTAGTTTGGAATTTTTCGGTTGAACTCATGCGTTCATAACTCAAGTGTTCATAAAGCCACGCGCGTTACCAAGGCCAATGTTTACGAGGTTACTTGGGGTCGACTGGGTAGTTACTTGGTATCGTATATTCCATATTGCTGTATTTACATTTCAAATTGAGTCACTTTTATCTGCAGCGTATTTATGGTACAATTTCCTCAAAATATTCGTTAACGTGCCTCTTTTTCTATCAACACATAAATCAATGTCCCCTGATTAACGGGCATCCCAAGTTGAAAGATACTTCGTGCAATATACCACAACCCCAGAAAGACATAAAGAAAAAAGAGTAATTTAGCATTAAATATTGTTAAGTAAGGTATTAATGTACAAAAGATCACATGTCTTATCACAGAAAATCATCTGTGTACGGTTAAGATTTGAACTCCTGACCTGTTGGATTTCGCGTTTTACAACCACTTCACAGTCACAATTACTGTTAAGTTCAAGTAAATTGTTTTAACTGTCAATAAAATAGTTATTAATTTTTCTTAGAGAACAAAGTTAACTAAACCACTTCAAAAGATACAAGTAAATCCCTTGTTCCATTTACATTACTAATAATCAAGACCAACCATCAGTATACAAGCATTTCTCAATTAATCAAGGCTCAGTATATTAACCAGGAAAAACACTGTAACTATTTTATTAGATTGTTAATCAACATTATAATACCACAAAAATATAAGTTCGTTCATCATTACATTTCAATCACGCTGTTACAATTAATATTAGCGACAGTCAAAAAACAATGTGTATACATGTTCTTGCTAATTACCTTAGCATACAAGTTCGACCACTACTTCATACAAATCACGCCGACACAACTAATCAAGTCTCGAAATCTCAATCGGTAACAATAGGTCCACCTGATTGAAATATTAACCTAGATTGTAGTCTCAGTTAGTCAAACACTCCACTCAAATCACACCGTCTCAACTAATAAACTCCCAACTTAATCAAAGACAAAGGATCTACCTGTTATTGGAATGTTAATCAACTCAGTCCTCGAGGTCTAATATCTCCGGCAAAATTAATACTGTCACATTCCGAAATAGATGGATTGATTTCGTGTTGAATACCTGCAAGGCAACAGAATTGTTTTAAAATTCCTTGAATGTGAGTGTAACTACGTAATGAAATCCATAATTGCATCCTAGGGCAGTTTAATAAACGAAGTGCTTTTCAAATATTTCAACTTCATTTTCCTCCAAAGTTTACAACAGTTGGCGACATTTTATCACGTAAGTGCCATACTCACATCTCCACGTTTTCCCCTATTTTATCAGCAATGCCATAAATCCTTTGCCAGTTTGGTGGCATTCAACTTTTATCACAACCATTATCGCGTAATGGATTCAGAAGGGAATGAAGCATTGTGATTTGACACGCAACTTATGAAGGCCTAATTATGGGGTTGATTTTGTCCTTGCTAGGTGGAGTATAGGAATTAAGCTGCGGTTAGGGGTTAAATTTTAACATTTTTTGTACAAGTTTCACTGCCAAAGTGGATAATAGTGATATTGGTGAAATGCATACTCAACTCCAATAATTATATATTTTATTTACAAACTATGCATTCCTGTTGTACTAAAATTTTTCATTGAAAAAGGTGCAATGACCAAATAAATCATCTTGATTTGTATTGGTTAAGCAAATAGTTCCCTAACACGTAGAAAAATTCCCTCTTTTGGAATCGTAATATAGTACAATTTAAATTATTTATTCCTTTCCTTCACTAAGATTTTAACTAATTCAAACTGAAAGGAACATAGCACATCCTGTCTGTAAACTATAGAATTTGTATGACACGTTAATTTTCAAAGTACATTAACATAAGGATAAAATCGAATTTTTGCTGCAGTAGTTGATATAACTTTGTTTTCATTCGAATACACGAATTGACTAGCTGGTCCCTTAAAGATGGGAATGCCTTGTAGTAGAATGTCCCCCGATCTAGCAGGGGTAGTTTTGGTGTGTTGCGTGTTGCCTAGGGGTGGATTGAAGGGGTTGATTTAGGGGTGGTTTTAGGGGTGGTTTTAGGGGTGGTTTTTTGGATAAGGGGTGGTTTTTTGGATTAGGGGTGGTTTTTTGGATTAGGGGTGGTTTTTTGGATTAGGGGTGGTTTTTTGGATTAGGGGTGGTTTTAGGGGTGGATTTAGAGTAGGGGGTGGTTTAAGGGGTGGATTTAGTGTTGGGGGTGGTTTAAGGGGTGGATTTAGTGTTGGGGGTGGGTGTTGGAGTTGGGGGGTGGGGTGGGGTTGTTGTTTTTGGAAGGGTTGAAGACTGTGTACTCTTATGTTAATATAAATTTAATAATATTTAATTACTTCTTTGGTGTTCCTCTATGATTTATGAATTATCTTTTATGGTATTGAAATTAACGGAAAAAAATATTTGAATCAGGTGTTTTCTGATTGGTTGAAAATAAGCTCGCTTCTGATTGGTTATAAATAAGTGACTGTGGTATTGAAATTAACGGACAAAAATATTTGAATTAGGCGTTCTCTGATTGGTTGAAAATAAGCTCGTCTCTGATTGGTTATAAATCTCTACTTATAGGCTAGGGAATGGTAGGTTAATTGAATAGTAGAAATTTATCAATATATCTTTTATTTTACTATATCTATTTTGATAAACATAAAATTATAAATCTAAAAAAATGTAAAATTGTGATTAATGGAATATATGGTATGAGAAAAGATAATGAAATTTGATTTAAAGTTTACTCTATGTTTTAGTAATTGAACTCATCCGTCATAATAGAGTCTTTTTCTGCCCGTTACTGTCTTTCGACAGAACGGGCAAACGTATAATCGAATAGCGCATGCCGGGCAAAGGGTATGGTGACAAGGCTGAATCACAATCGTTGGGAGAGCATCCTGACAGATCTGGCAGGTGATGGTCCGTTGAGGTTCGGTTGGGGTTTCTTGACCTCGAATGATGTTATCGTCCATCTGTTGTCCTGTCATCACGAGGATCCGCTCCAAGGACGTCCGGATCTCGTTCCAGATGACTGGAGCAACTTCTGCCATCTCTGCTCGGCTGGCCATTCCAATTGCGGAATCTGCCAATGTCAACACCTCCCTTAGTTCTGTCCTAGTGGTGTTGAGGTGGCCGATAGCTCTCCACGAAGCTCTGTCACCACTGTCGGCATCGATATCCTGAAAACAAATCAAGTTTTATTTTTTTGTTGATGTCTCTAGTTATGGTTGGGTAAGAGAAATAAAATTAGGCGATGAAAACCCACCCTTAGAAAAAACTCCATTCTTTGACGTAGGATTCTTTCTTCCCGTTGGCAGCTCCGGCAGAGAGGATGGGGCTCTAGCAGTGTATGGGAAGAAGAGGTCTCTGGCGAAGGACTACGAGGTGAAGATGGTAGTACTTCGTCAGAGAGAAGCTCGTTCCCCTGTGCCTGTGACGGGTCGAAGTCATCCACGGGCTAAAAAATGTAAAATATATCAATATTCTAATATACATATATTATAGATGCTAAAGATTTATTCTAAACTTATATTATTCTTACCGTGGGATTTATCCTTCTGGATGGTCCAGCAACAGGTTCAGAAGGTACTGGTCGAAGGCCTGAAACGGCATCCATCAGGTGCTGATTGTGTTGTTCTTCGATCCGACTAAGAAGTCCGGGGGTCCCTCTAAATACATGGGAAATGTAGGACCCTTCGCCGGTCGAATTGTAATACAACCAGCGTGTTCCTTCAGGAATTCTGCCGTTATTCTGAAAAACAAAATGATGTAAATTATGCAATAAATATTTTACATGGTACTAAATCATACTACTGTACTATTTAATAGTGAACATTGATACTAGTCTTACCTCATGTGTGATGAGTATCCAAAATGGATCACGTGGCCTTCTGTAGTAATCTTCATAGGTGCTGCTGAATTCTATGGTTAAATGACCCCCACTCACAGATCTTAATATTTGAACAAAACGGTCTGCTGCCTCTGACTGTAAAAGGAAAAAAAAAAGATAAACCAACAATCTATTATATACTTACAGTGAAAATGTATAATAGCTAGTTATATTTACTTACATAGGTTATCTGATGATAGCCGATTGGAGGCAGTGGAGCTGTTCTGGCTAAATATATGAGGATATTTCCTCTTGTATTTGTGAAATGGGAGTCATTATTCATCAGAAGTGCAGGCTCAAGCTGGAATAAATTAAAAGTTATTAGTAATTGTATTAATTACTTATTACGATGGGATGCTATTAGGAATGGTTAAAAGGTGAGTAAATGATTATACTGATAAATTACCATAATGATGTGTTCCATCTGCGTTCGCCGCACTTCGGACTCTAAATACTCCGAGGTTTCAGTTACGGTATGGTTGGATGTCACATCTCCTTGCCATAACTGAAGGTGTTCTTGGTCAATTGGTTCACCACCTCTCTGTAAATGTTTGTAAGTTATAAAAATAGTTACTTCTACTAGTAAAACTAATTAATGTAAATACATCTAGGATTTCTACTGACCATCAGTGTAGTTAGAGTCCACTCAATGGAGTTAACAGTTGCAACTCTGACATAGGGGTAAATCCCAGTTTCAGGGGTTGGATAACTGTACCTCCTCATGTTATGAATTTCTACGTTGGCACGGCGCTGGAAAATACATATGAATTAATAATACAGCAAATTAACAAACATGAATGATTAACAAATGTTGGATTTTTTAAACGTACTCTATTACCGTTTTCTTACCTGGGAAATGTGAGCAAACCCTTCTAGAGGAAATAAATTGAGGGTAGTGTTATCATTCAATTGCCGTCTATATGATAGCAAATCTCCTCTGATGTTGGTGAAATATACTTCCCCGGTGCTGTTGTGGTTGAATGGAAGCAATAAATGTATTATTTCATTCTGAAAATAAAAACATATTTTTATAAGTAGAAACTATTTAGTTTTGATTAGTATGTATTTTGAACAGTTTATAAGAGTAAACTTATAAATAATAACTTACACGTCTCCATTGATTAAGGTCGAGGTTTTCCACAGTGGCGTCCTGGAAAAACAGTGTCAAATTAATATAATGTAGAAATAATTTTATGTCATAACATACGTATAGTTCCTGTAAATTAAAACTGAATTATTAAACAGGTCTTTAAAAGATAAAGAAATATGTAAAGTATAAAAAGTATTTTTTTTTTCAATATAACTTACAGAATCATCATCTTGAAAGATGTCCGGACTGGGTACCTAAAAGATAAATACAAATAATGTAATATAGTTCCCGGATGTTTGCACAAGTAAATATTACGACAATATAGTACTATCCTGAAATTATAACATTTAGTTAATCACAAGACAAAATTATGGTTTTGATTTCAAAATAATCTGTTGTGATTATCATCGGTTGTACGGGTTGTTGATTGCTGTGAAGGAATGTGACAGGTCGTTAATCACGGCTCCAGCTGCGTCAAAGAATGTGGCGGCTTATAAGATCTCAAGATAACGTCACTCATCCTATGCTCCTTGTTATACGTGGTTTAAAATATTTACACTTGGGCACTAAAAATATACATAACCTGAAAAAACAATTATAAGTTGACTATTTTAAAGTATACAAACCTAAAAAAAAGCAATTTTAATATTTAAGACTTACCGAACGTGAAGGAGGATTTTCCTCGTCTGAGGAGTTGATGGCTGTAAGGCCGGCTAGCAGAAACACTACCGAAAGAAACTTCATGGTGAAGATATTCACAGAGAGTGATGAGGCTTCAATTTTTGACTCTGATATATATACAGAGATAAAACCTCGAATCAGAGTGACCTGACCCTCAAAATAATCGCAATGCTATCTCTTTGACAGCTTGCCAAATTTGTTCCTCTGCTAATTTATGTGGAAACAACCTCCAAATGATTTGCAATTTCCTTGATGACTTTATATGGAGAGTTGTTTATTCTGTCCTCGGCATTTCCTTAGTCTAGTTTTGTATTTTTCTTTGTATGATACTTAATGCTATTTAGCTAGCAGAACTTTGTATTTGTCAAATAAATGTTATCTTTCAAGTTGGTATGTAATTTTAAACTATCTTTGTATTTTTCTTCGCATAATAGTTAAATATTATTTTTAAGCTGCAAATTTTATATTTCCCTTCATATAATAGTTAAATGCTCTTTGGAGCGGTAATTAATGCATTACCCTTTTACTCTTCATTTTGCAAATTACCTTCTAATTATTGGTTGTAGCAGGGAAGATATTAAAAACAATCGAAATAAAGAAATAGTACATTTATTTTTCTATATTTTTTATTACATAAAGAACTTTACGTTGGGGCTTCGCCCTGTCATCCCTGTACATTGGATTTTGAAGCCGCCTTTGTTGAAGCGGTCAATCTGCTGGTTTGTCAGCTGGTCGACAAATCTTCGAGGGAGGAAAGTGATGGCTGTCTCTCCCTTTGGCATGACGATTTCGACCATGATGGATGGGCCGTATTTCGTCTCTGTGCGCTTCATGGAGTTTATGGGGTAGCCCTCTGCGGCGGTGAGGTCCTTACAAGGGACCTTAGAAGGACCGTCATAAACCTCGAGGACAGCTAGTTCTTGCAACATTTGTTTGTCCATTATCTGAAATTACCAATTTGAGATTAATAAACAATCTTTTCCTGCTGTATTCTTTAGTAAAAAAAAACTGTTAAATGTGTCAAAGAGACCATATAGTTGAATTGTTTTTACTCTGTATTTTACCTGTTTTACTCGTTATTTTAAAATTTTTACATTAAATTGACCAGCAAAAAAAAATATATTAAAAAGTAATAAATCATACTTACAATGATGTAAATGTTTAAGATGGCAGATGATGTTGACTTCTAGAGTGGTGCTGCTATACTGACTATCTCGATGTTGGTCCTGCTTAAATAGGGAAAATGGGGGACAAAGTTCACCTTGTGATGTAACTTTTAATCTGCTTGGATATTGACCCACGTTTCCACACCACCCATGAGGTAGGGGTCTCAGCGCATTCTTTTTTTGTTAACTCAGAGGCATCCCCAGGAGGTCTACACCCTCTGAGATAGACTGCCCCATCCATCGCAGTCTATGGTGATGGCCACTCCATAACAAATATGCCACCTCCCAATATTTTTTTTATTTTTTTATTTTTTTTATTTTTTTTGTCCTTTGACTAATGTAGAGGGTTATTTACTTGGTGAAGCCTTTCAATTAACCCTTTTACCACTGACAAAGGATATTTTACTTTTATATATTTTTTTGTCCTTTGACTAATGTAGAGGGTTATTTACTTGGTGAAGCCTTTCAATTAACCCTCTTGCCACTGACAAAGGATATTTTTTCTTTATATTTTTTTTTGTATCTTCCAGATCATCTGAGGGGGTTACACATACATTTGAGGATGCCTGAGGGAGACTCAATGTCTTAAGGTTTTTAGGCCAGCCTCCTCACCCCGTGGACTTACAGGTTTTACGCCAGCCTGATGAGTGAGTGGCGATCCTCTTTGAGGTTTATATCAACCTTATGCCCTGTGGACTTATGGGTTTTAAGCCTGCCTGTTGAGCATATAAACCGCACCTCAGATGATCTGTAAGATTTTTTTAGTAAGAAATATCTATATACGATAAATGATCATCTACAAACTTGCTACTTACATCTTGATATAACAAGATATAATCCCAATCTACTTTACTAGCATAGTCATGAATGAAGGGTTCGGATAGTTTTTGATATTTACTAACAATATCCCAACACCCATCAAAATTAAGAGCCATTTCTCGAAGGAAGGCTTCTGAGAATTTTTGACGCTTCAAAATTAGACTCCAGTTGACTTTGTGAAAATAAATCCTAAGCATATCAATAGAAAAATTATATTTATTGGATAAAATGTTCCAGTCCAAAAACCGATCAAACTTCATTATAAAGCTGTCAGTCATCACCCCTTCGGGCTCCTTTGGTTCTTGTGACAATAGTGACCAGACGTTTTCCATCTCCAAGCTCATACTGACCAGCTTCATAAAGTGAAAGGCTTAAGTAGTACTGAAGTGTGTATGCAGTACGTACGGCACACTTTTTATGGTCACCCATAGAACATGCTATTCCTGGCATAGCGTCAATAGCGGGACCATCTATTACACGAACATCTGAATGAAACCTCTTCAAAAACTCAGCCTTCTCCCTACCTTTAGTATATATACATTGAAAAGGGAGACATAAGGCTGAAATTAAACCCTCATTAAATGGTATACTACCCTCTTCCCAACGCAAACCATGATGATTTCGAGAAAGCCAACGATTGGTTTTTTGGGCTTTAGAGTTTAATTGATGAAAGCCGTAGGGAGGTTTAAACAATATTTGGCACTCTAGAGAACCACCAACAATGGCCAGTTCTTTTATAATGAAATTATCATTGTTATCTTTAAAAGCTTGAAACTCTACTACAGCCTCCATATTGACAATTCACTTCTAAGACGATCAGCAACGTCAGATGGTAGCTCGTCTGTTTGTTCTTTAGCGTCAGCCAAAACTTGATCGATAAAATCTTTAATGAATACTTCCAAGTAAAATAATTCCAAGAGGTTTCTACAAATTATAGGGATATTCTTTATTAACTGATTCCACTCAACTAAATTAAGGGACAAGGAGTGCTCACCGTCACTAATGTACGCGTACTGATTTCCAAATACGTTATTTACTTTGATACTTGATCCTTCGTCGGTCTTAATATTTTCTGATCGTTTTTCCAAGAGAGCTAAAGTAATTAAGTTGAAACGATCACAAAGCTGACAAAATGAATCGTATGACCAATAAACACAACCCCTTTTACCTTTGATGATTACCCCAAGACTGCTATCACGGTTTTTAACAATTCCTGTTATCGCACACTTGGTAAGCTCGGAGTCCAGAAAGTAAACTGACTTTAGAAAGACTCCGGTTAAAAGATTTATAGGCTCCTTCTCCTTAGGGATAGCTATAGCGTTAGCACTTACCTCTGTCTCCTGTGAAGTCATCTCTGCAACTAAACTACTTTCCTTATACCCTTAACCTACATCCCTTAACCCTCCCCACCCTACCCACTCATGGTTCATCTGAAAAGTAAAATAACCCCTCCTCCCCCTCCTCCTCCTCCTCTTCTGAAGACTCCTCATCTGACATAGAAGGACCTTCTCTAATTTTAACAAGGATTTTACTAGTACCATGGGGAACATTAAACTTTTTCATATCTGCATATATTTTAAAACAGTCTACCTTCTCTATACCAAGCAATATGTTATGCTCGTCATAAAACTCAACACTAAGCCATTCCATGTTTACCACCTGAATGTTTACCCTAAACTGATCGCAATGCTACCCCTTACATAGATATCTTTCTCACATCCCCAGTGATTGGTGTGTATGTGTAGTGTGTATCATGAATAATGAGACAGTATGCGCTTGTATTTGCAGGGATAGCATTTTTAAATTGAATTTCCAGTCTAACATCTACAGGACCGGTTTTAATAGTATCATCCTGTTTAGAACAGTCGATTACGTAAATTGGACAGTTTGATGTGAAATCACTAAAGCTTAATATAGGAGAACCAACTCTTCCGTAGTAGGAGCTTTGGAAACTTGTATACATGTCATAAAACAAACAAGAGTTTCCACGGATATTATCGTAAGGGTAAAAGTTTGAATTCAAATACAATTTTACATCCTGTAAATCAGCAATGTCAAATTGAGACATGTCTTTGGTTACACTATTTTTCCTACCAGTTTGAAATGCTAAAACAATATATCGTGGTTTTTCTGTTTGGTTAGAAGTTTTAAGAGTCCAAGACATAGACTCAGTTGTGGGTAGGGTTGGGTATTCAATTAACTCCCATTGCCGAAATGGAATATGAATAGTTGGATCTTTCTCGATATACTTATACAGTTTTAATTTCTGGCTATCATTTACAGTTATATGAGGTATACGCCAGTAGATCTTATCAATTTTTAATGTCACCATACCTTCATTAGTGGTAAATACAGCATTTTCATCTCTGGATGAACGCAATAGGATGAGCTCTTGTTTAGCATTCACCAAAACTTTTTTATAGTCCTCTGTGAACCCCAACAAAAGTTTCAAAGGTACTGAATATACAAAATCCTTAGCTTTTTCAACTTTACCGGGTCCCAACCAACACGCATTCTTATAAGTATTTTTCTCTTCCTCCCTAATGGAAACGAGATTTTTCAAAGTTGTAGTGATGCCTACATTTTTTGTTCTATCAATTTCTTTTCCGCAAAGCTCGTAGCGAATTTCCTCAAATAAAAATGCAATTGCATTGTTAACAAGTGATACTTCCTGTGATGAACCGTCAGTTTTTTTAGCACTGACCGAACCATGAATGACAATACTACTGTAAAATGGAGCTGTAATTATGTCCTGTTGTAGAAGTGGAATTCTAATTTCATCATTATTATTATAAGTAGTAGATGCGTATGGTTGGTGAGTATGAAATTCCATACTGGTGATTAAATCATCATATGCTGCTGCTTGACCTATCTCTAACAGAGCCATTTTTTATTACTTTGAAGCCGAGAGAGCGAAGAAAATTTATATTTTTACAAGTTAATCCTTTGGATGTCTGGTTACTACTAAATCGTCGAACTGTAGGTAAATCACTAAATAGCAGACCCATTACTCCGTCTTAGATGGAGCCTTACTGAAATTCTTTCTCCACGAAAATTAACTAATTTACCGTCTTGATCTCTTAGGGAGATTGTCAAGTTGTTTATCCTCTGGCTGATCACTGGCAAATAAATAACATTCCGCGGTATTTCTATTATTTTATAGCCTGGTGGATCTGCAGGATAGAACTCATGTATTACATGGTCCTCTATCCCGTTCAAAAATGAGCCACGTGTAACGTTACAGTCCACCCGTATTGAGTTAACTTTAATTATATCCACAGGTAGCTCCGAGGCATGCT